ATTTAGTAAATTACCTGTATTTAAGTTAGTATTACTTAATCAAAACAACCCAACTGCAGTTTGATTGATATTACTTGGAATGCGCAATAAAAAAAACGTGATTTCTGAAAAAAAAAAGAACTAAAGTTAGTTCTGAGAGGCATCTTTTTTTTTTTTACAGATTATGCTTGGTTTGGTATTTTGTCTCTAATGTAGGAAATATTCAGAAGTGTGACTAAGTTCAAAAGTTTGGGGTCAGTAAATTTTTTTAAATGTTTTTGAAAGAAGTCTCTTATGCTCACCGAGGCTGTGTTTATTTTATCAAAAATACAGTAAAAACAATCATTTTGTGAAATATTAAAATTTAAAATTCTTTTTCTATTGTAATACATTTTAATGTAATTTATTACTGTGACACAAAGCTGAATTTTCAGCATCATTACTCCAATCTTCAGTGTCACATGATCCTTCAGAAATCATTCTAATATGCCGATGTGCTGCTCAATTAAAAAAAAAAAATTCTTATCAGATAATATAATCTTATAAAATCTTATTATTATCCACACTGAACAGTTTTGTGGCTTAATATTTTTTTCTGGAACCATGATACATTTCTTTCAAGATTCTTTGATGAATAGCAAGTTTAAACCAACTTGAAATGTAAATATTTTGTAACATTATAAATGTATTTACACTCACTTTTGATCAATCGAATGTGTCCCTGCTAAATAAAAGTATTCATTTCTTTAAAAAAAAAAAAAAAATCTTACTGACCCGAAACCTTTGAACGGTAGTTTATGTTAATGGAATTTGAATAGGCTTTTACAATGTGTAGTCACACTAATGCCACTTCATCATAACAGACACACTTTTGATGTCCAGTCACTCAGCGCTTACCATCTAAACAGGCCTTGCGCAGTTTGGCATCAAGCCCCCCTTGAATAATGGCAAACAGGTTCTGTCGATCTGGATTCTTATTTCCTGCGATGCAGCGGTCTAGCCAGCGCACGGAGCGGTGCATGGCCTCCTCCACCCGCGGCCCTTTCACCGTACTGCTGACAACGTCATCCAGCTGCATCATGATGTCTGAACCTACACACATTGCCATGAGTCACAGAGATTCAATAAGCATTTGTTGAACGTTCTGGTTAAGAGATGATGATCTGTAACATTATTCATACCCAGGCTGTTCTGTATGGCAATGGATTGCTCAGGAGTGAGCAGGATTTCCTTTCCATCGTAAGGGGAACGGAACGTGACGCCCTCCTCCGTCACTTCCGACAGCTCCAATAGAGATACCATCTGAAACCCGCCACTGTCCTGTTAAAAGAAACACGGGCGAAACACAGAAATTGGGGATTTCGATGAGCAAGACAAAATTATTCATTCATAAAAGTAAACAGAAGTGGTTTTCAATCAGTGGGCCTCAGCCAGTGGGATGATTTATAAGTACTCAAAAAAATAAATTCTTATTAATATATTAAAATAACCAAACGATAATCTAAATTAAAATGCACATCAACTCAAGATGTAAACTGCAATCGCCTCTCTTTATCCTCCTCCATAAATATTGTTTATATTGAATAAGATGCAGTTCTTGAAATTCCTGGACAATATAAATGGTACTGGGTAGATTACTTACAAACTAGTCTTTTACAGATTACAGTTTACATGATGATAATTTTAGTTAGTAACCTAATCTACTAAATTTCACATGTTATGTAATGTATTCTGACTATTTTTAGATTACTTTTGACATAACATGTTTGAATATTTTGAATCATGTTGATAAAAAAAAATACAAGAAGAATTATATAAATTATATATATATATACAGTGGGTACGGAAAGTATTCAGACCCCCTTAAATTTTTCACTCTTTGTTATATTGCAGCCATTTGCTAAAATCATTTAAGTTAATTTTTTTTCCTCATTAATGTACACACAGCACCCCATATTGACAGAAAAACACAGTGTATTCTTTCCTTCATCACATCAAAAAAAAAATTTTTTAATAATTTTATAGAAATTGCTGAGACAGATACATTTTTTTAGTAGTAGTAGTATGCAAATGTTTCCAATTAGACTTTAAATGGACTGATGTTTGGCTTGATTATATTCACAGCAAAAGGAGACTCTACTCATTTCCATAACTTCTCCAGTCTACTCTATCCATCAAACTAACACTGCAAAATCTGCATTGGAATAACGTGAACAAAACGAATCATGGTATTCTACGTTTTACTCTTAATAGTTCTTCTGGTGTTTGGGAATAGTTTAAAAATAATAATAATTACCGTTAAGAGATTTCTACTCCACTTCATAAATCCATGTAATCCATTGGCTTTCTCTATTAACTCGGGACCCTGTTAGGACACATACAATAACAGTTAAACAAGTTTAAAATATACAGTGCATTGATTGTGATGAAACACTCTGACAATTTCTTCTCACATACCGGCCTCATGCCCAGATGATACGTGTTTCCCAGGCATATCTGACAGTCCAGATCCTCCAGCTGATCTATAGTGATGCCTTTCAGGGTACCCTGAGTGCCCACGGGCATGAACACCGGGGTGCTGACAGCGCAGTGGGAGAGAGCAAGAGTGCAGGCTCTCGCCTTACTCACGGGACACTCCGCCACGATACGAAGAGCGAGAGGCGCAGCAGAGGATACAGCCTTTACTGATGCCATACTGCCTTCACACTCATGTGTGCTGCCGGGTATGGGCGCAGCCATCTTGAATAGCGATGTCCGATTCACTTGTGAATTGTTCATTTGAGTCGGATCTTTTTGAGGAACAGGATGAACTAGTACAAAAACCACTCTGGGCTGCGTCTCCCAAAAGCATAGAAAGCCTACGTAGATCATAGATCCATTGCCACCAACGGCCTCTACGATCAACTTATCTCACGATGCTTTTGATAAATGCAGCCCTGAACAATTCACGAATCGGTGTGAATCTGTCCAAACGGTTCTCGAGTCTCTGACTCACTGAACAGTAAACCATCTCTTTCATAAACGCATGTATTCATATTATAGATTTCAGATTTATATGTGAATGTATCAGACGTTTATATTTCAAATGGTTAGTTTGTTTTATAAGCTGAATCGTGGCTGCAAGAAATGACCACGAACACGCTGTTAATAAAACTTAATGAATAAAAAACTGTAAATGCGTTATAAACAGCACATGTTCTTACACATTACTTTATTTTAAACGTTTTAGAATAGAATAAGTCACGTCGAGATGTCAGGGACCAAGTAATGTCGTAAAAATCTGTCTGAAATCCTGTGCTGACCAGCTGGCCCCCATCTTCACACAGATCTTCAACAGATCACTGGAGCTGTGCGAAGTCCCATCATGCTTCGAACGCTCCACCATCATCCCCATCCCAAAGAAATCCAAAATTACAGGATTTAATGACTACAGGCCTGTGGCTCTAACGTCTGTGGTCATGAAGTCTTTTGAAAAAACTGGTGTTGGCCCACCTGAAGGACATTACTGGACCCTTACTGGATCCTCTTCAGTTTGCCTACAGAGCAAACAGGTCTGTGGACGATGCAGTAAACATGGGACTGCATTATGTTCTGCAACATCTAGACAGACCAGGGACTTATGTGAGGATCCTGTT